ACAGGGTGTGGTGGGGTGGGGGACAACACAGCGGGCGAGTTAGCCTAGAGAACTTTCTTTCTGATCACCGGCGCCGAGCTTTGAACATCGCTAGCGCTAGAGAAAGAAACCTGCTTCGATTTTTGGTCAAGCAAGACCTAGAGGTCACGTGGAAACAAAATGATCATCAGGGGAGATAACAAGGAGAAACAGACAGAACACCAAACTCAAAGATTAGACCTACTTTAATTCCCTTGAATTTATTATAGGATCCCTTATTACGAGAATCCTGCTATAATGGACATTTCTCCCCACTCCCATCCCTCTCGTTATAACAGGATTCCACTGTATGACCTTATTGGGCTTCAAGTGCTGTAAAACGCTTACTTAGCCTAAAAAAAGAGAGGATGGTTTGTTCCTCCTTCTCTTTCTCTGCCCGAAACATCACTGTTTTTTTCCCTCTCTCTGCAGGGTGGGTGGTTGGCAGGTGCTCTGGTGCGGTTTGCTTCTTCTTTCCTATAAAAAGCTATGGTCGTTCTCTCTTCTCCTCCTTTTTTGTGTTTGTTACTCTCTTGTAACGGCTCTAATCTTTGACACTTATATATATGTGAAGGATGCTGACAAAATTAGTTACTTTTCGAATCCTGGTCTTATGGACATAGATAAATTATGTCAAAATTATTGTTTTAGTTGATATAATTTAGCATATGAACTGATAAAAGGTATTAAACTTGAAGGAAAATGTATCAGTTTAAAATGTACAAATTTGATGTGTCTATTTTCGGCCAACATCTCCATTCGTGGATAACGAGGAGTAACTTCCTTTTGTCAGCACTCCTCACATTTGACCTTATTGTGTTGCACGTGCCATAAAAAGCTTTTGCTAAAACTAAACTGTCTCCCAAGGTGAAGGTGAACAGTGTGGAGTATCAGCCGGCAGTCGCCAGCTCCAACAAGAAGTCGGCCAAGGCTCAGTGTGCGGCCGTGTGTCTGCAGGAGATGGGCCTGCTGCCCAGAGACGTGCCGCTACTGTTCTAACGTGAAGGCTGGCCAGAGACGTGCCGCTACAGTTCTAACGTGAAGGCTGGCCAGAGACGTGCCGCTACAGTTCTAACGTGAAGGCTGGCCAGAGACGTGCCGCTACTGTTCTAACGTGAAGGCTGGCCAGAGACGTGCCGCTACTGTTCTACCACTACAGTTCTAACGTGAAGGCTGGCCAGAGACGTGCCGCTACAGTTCTACCACTACAGTTCTAACGTGAAGGCTGGCCAGAGACGTGCCGCTACAGTTCTACCACTACTGTTCTAACGTGAAGGCTGGCCAGAGACGCGCCGCTACAGTTTTAACGTGAAGGCTGGCCAGAGACGTGCCGCTACAGTTCTACCACTACACTTCTAACGTGAAGGCTGGCCAGAGACGTGCCGCTACTGTTCTAACGTGAAGGCTGGCCAGAGACGCGCCGCTACAGTGTTAACGTGAAGGCTGTCCAGAGACGTGCCGCTACAGTTCTAACGTGGAGGCTGGCCAGAGACGTGCCGCTACAGTTCTACCACTACAGTTCTAACGTGAAGGCTGGCCAGAGACGTGCCGCTACAGCTCTACCACTACAGTTCTGACGTGAAAGCTCGCACGCCTGTGTTTGTTTTGTTTGCTTTAGGGATTTTTGGCGATGATAGACAACAGAAGGAGAGGAGATTTTTCATGGGGGGGGAGGGGGGTTGTCTTTTGCCGACCCCATTGGATTGGGAGGTTTCAAGAACTGGAAGACATTCCGAGAATAAAATGGAGCATACCCGGTAATGATTTCATTTAGGACGCGATTGAATTAGTACAGTGGAGCTCGGATTCAACAAAGTCGTCAAGACTGACCTTCAATTTAGTTGAATTCGAGCATTTGTTTTATAAAATAACAAACATGAGGTTTTTTAAAGAGATAGTTACAGGCATCAACAAGTTATGTTGCTATTGACTTTCTCAGTTGAAATGAAATAAAAACTGGGGAAAAGCCAACTTTTTGGCTTGTGAGAGGTGTTTTTGTTTTTTTATCTTTTGTTGTTTACCATGTCACCCTTTGTAAAAATTGTAACTTTCTGGACAATCTCGCATGGCCCCGCTCTATTTTTATTTTGAGATCTATGACACTTGCCTGCAGACAAAAGTAACGGATGAACATAGTATGTCCCATGTGTGTGCGTTATTGTGTGTGTGTTATGACTTATGTCCCATGTGTGTGTGTTTTGACACATGTCCCATGTGTGTGTGTTATGACTCATGTCCCATGTGTGTGTGTGTGTTATGACTCATGTCCCATATGTGTCTGTTATGACTCATGTCCCATGTGTGTGTGTTATGACACATGTCCCATGTGTCTGTGTTATGACACATGTCCCATGTGTGTGTGTGTTATGACTCATGTCCCATGTGTGTGTGTGTGTGTTATGACACATGTCCCATGTGTGTGTGTTATGACTTATGTCCCATGTGTGTGTGTTATGAATCATGTCCCATGTGTGTGTGTGTGTGTTATGACTCATGTCCCATGTGTGTGTGTGTGTTATGTCTCATGTCCCATGTGTGTGTGTGTGTTATGACACATGTCCCATGTGTGTGTGTGTGTTATGACACATGTCCCATGTGTGTGCGTTATTGTGTGTGTGTTATGTCTCATGTCCCATGTGTGTGTGTTATGACTCATGTCCCATGTGTGTGTGTTATGACTTATGTCCCATGGGTGTGTGTGTGTGTTATGTCTCATGTCCCATGTGTGTGTGTT